TTTATGACTGTCTTTACATGGTGAGAAATAATAATTTTTGCATATTTTGCAGCTGTGTTCATGGGAGGTTTCAGCCTATAATTTGTTTCATCTAGTTTCTTTTATTGACTTACACTTCAGTGATGCTGACCATAGAGCAGGTCTTAGGTTACATATTTCATTCTCTAGACCTGAAAGTCCAGATATTTGGGTAGGCTGTACTCAATTTGTCCCTCTACCTGATAAGATCCTTTTGTTTTCTTTTTGTGTTGTTGTTGTTGTTGTTGTTGTTGTTGTTGTTTTGAGACAAGGTCTCTCTACAGAGCCCTAGCTGTCCTGGAATTCACTATGTAGACCTGGTTGGTCTTAAACTCACAAATATCCACCTTCCCCTTCTTCTAAAGTGCTGGATTTAAAGAGATGTGCCACCACAACTAGTAGCTGAGCAGTCCTGAGGAGTCTACAATTGTCCACACCATCTGTATACCATTCTGTCCTAATGAAAAACACTAACTGGACCTATCATATATTCATCTGACTCCAGTAGGCACATGGTAGCAGGAGACATTTATTGATCCTGATTTATGATGTTTAGAGTGAACACTAGAAATGGGTTCTCTGATAGTTACTACATGGAGGTCAATGAAAGGGCTAAAAGGAGCTAGGATGACACATGATACCACCCAGCCTATATGTGCTAAGTCCTTTCCACTCTGTACACAACACTAGCTCACAAGATTTCATGTTGAGGTCTTTGATCCACTTGGACTTAAGTTCTGTGCATGGGAACAGATGTGGATCTATTTGCAATCTTCTACATGTTGACATCCAGTTATGCCAGCACCATTTGTTGAAGATGCTTTCTTTCTCCCATTGTACAGTTTTGTTATCTTTGTAAAAAAAAAATATATGTTCATTGGTGTGCAGATTAATGTCAGAATCTTAAATTCCATTCCATTGGTCCACATGTTGGTTTTTATGCCAGTACTAAGCTGTTTTATTATTGTAGCTCTAGAGTAGAACTTGAAGTCAAGGATCGTGATGCCTCCAGAGGTTGTT